CAGTTAAGGATTTGTGCTCAGTAAATCCTCCCCAGCCAGGATACAAACCCAGGACAAAGCCCAGGTTTGCGAAACGCCAGGCGAGCGTCTTACCACTATATCACTGAAACATTGCTACGGATACCTATACAACACACAAAGCAGCCCCCAGCTTCAAAAGTATAATTAATAATTCACCTTGTCAGAGACAGGAAGTTTCTCTCTATACTGTACTGTAAATACTTTAAGCTTGTTTTGGGGGCCTTCCCCACCCATTGTCGAACTACTGACCCTCCCCAGGATGCAAACCACCAATAGATGCCTAAATTCTGGATACCTACTGCAAGGTAACCAGAAGCATTAGGTGAAAAGAAATGTGCCTAATCATTTCTGTTCCACCAAGGAACCCAAGATCTCTGACAAAGTCCAGAATGATGCCAACTGTACTCCGAGACCCCCTACCTACTTACTTGTAATTAAAGGGACATAAGAACAAGGCAGTCAGATGAATCAATGTGTGGAATAGTAATATTAACTAATCAACATACCTGTCTCCACATGTCCAACTCTCCCTGAGGACAGTCCTTTGACACCTCTCCTGACCCACTTAGTAAAGGTTCGTCATCATCTGTGGAAAGTTATAAATATCACCGTTATTACCAACTTTCTGAAATGTAATGAGATTGGGAGACAATAGTAAGATGAAAACAAGACAACTGTTCATTTTCCACATCAAATGCACTATACAGCATCACAAAGAAACAAGCACCACCAAACTCCAGCAAATTATCCACAGCAGCATGCCACTACTTTATAACACTAGACATACAGTGCTCCTTGTTGTGTGTACTGGCAAGATACATCCTCTCCTGCCTATAGTGAGTCATACTACCCCCTGTACATAGTCCAGAAGCTTCGTAGTTTTATTTGGTTACATTCAAGGAAAATAATGAACCCAGAATTTTATGTTATGTTGCAAGTTGGGTGAAGGCAGGTAAGAAGCTCAACCTGAAAGGCAAGATGGCTAACACACCCAGGCTCAGGAAGCATTTCCCATCGAAAGCAAACTGGAAGCGAGGACACTAGGTCTCCAGGGAAGTTGGAATTATTGGGGACGCGGCCAATGAGAACACGCTGTCATGTGACATGACATCACCACCCGAGTCGTGGACGGGAGAGCCAAGGCGGCGTCACTTTACTCCGGGTGCTCATCAGAGACAAACACACCTTTTGTCTTTCCAGCAAAAAGTAGTCTGGCCTGTGAAGGTGAACGTCAATGCTGGTGGAAATCAAGTTCGAAGGCAGTGGAGACGCTGAGCAACTGCCTGAGAAGAATTTGGGAGTGCCCAGGCTACGAGAAGTGAGACTTCAAGGTGCATTAGTCTACCTGTCAACCAGGAGGGCAGACTAGAAAGACCAATTGAGTGACCTTTAAGTCGCTCCCCAGGTATAAAGAGACCTGAGGCAAGCGGAGGTAGTCCTGATCGACTATATGTCGACCAGGTAAGAACATGTAATATCCCTCGCAACCGGCAGGGAACCTGCCGATTGCGAGAGAACCTGGTCCAAAGTAGTCTCCAGGAAATGTGCCCTGTAATGTGGAAGCCATCGGTAAACCAGTTAACCATTGCATTGGGAGCGAAGAGCTTCAGGGACCCTCTGTCAACCTTACTACTGTGATTCAATGAGGACGATTGGAGATGATCATCCAGGATTAAGAGCCCTTGTGACAATTCTGCCAACCACAACAATCAACTGAGATGGGAGCATCTAGTCTACAGTCCATCTATGGTAGATCAATAACCCACTTACTCCTTGTGCTAGGCTATTCATTGTGTTACTCAACACAAGAGGACAAGACACACACAAGAAAACTTTCTTCTATTTCAAACAAAACCCCAGCTTGATACATTAACATGTGAATGATCGAAAGCAATTCTTTAAATGACAAAATAAATCTATATAAATATAGATGGAGTTTCACCATGGGTTCTGAGAGAATGAGCACCTGAGCTCAGCATTTCACTTCAACTGATTTTTCAGGCATCCCTGTGTACAGGAGTCATAGCAGATGTGTGGAAAAAGGCTAACATAGTTCCAATCTACAAAAGTGGCAGCAGAGAAGACCCCTAAATTATAGGCGTGTAACATTGACAAGTGTAATAGTCAAAATATTGGAAAAAATAAGTAAAACTAAATGGGTAGAACACCTGGCGAAAAACTACATAATATCTGACAGTCAGTATGGTTTTCGATCTGGAAGATCCTGTGTAATGAATTTACTCAGTTTCTATGATCGAGCCAGAGATTTTACAGGAGAGCGATGGTTGGGTTGACTGCATCTATTTGAACCTAAAAAAAAAAAAATGCTTTCAACAGAGTTCCACATAAGAAGTTGTTCTGGAAACTGGAACATATTGTAGGAGGGACAGGTAGGCTTCTAACATGAATGAAAAATTTTCTGATAGAAACATGAAGGCAGTAATCAGAGGAAATGTATCGGATTGGAGAAACGTCACAAGTGGAGTACCACAGGGTTCAATTGTTGCATCAGTAATGTTCATTGTCTACATAAATGATCTACCAAATGGAATACAAAATTATATGAACATGTTTGTTGATGATGCTAAGATAATAGGGAAGATAAGTAACTTAAATGATTGTCATGCCCTTCATGATGACCTGGACAAAATAAGTATATGGAGCATCACTAGGCAAATGGCATTTAATGCAAATAAATGCCATGTTATGGAATGTGGAATAGGAGAACAGAGACCCCACACAACCTATAAATTATGTGAATTTTTTTTAAAGAATTCTGATAAAGAAAGAGATCTAAGGGTGGTCCTAGATAGAAAACTATCACAATCACAGGACCACATAAAGAACATTGTGCGAGGGACCTATGCTACACTTTCTAATTTCAGAATTGCTGTTAAATACATGGATGGTGAAATACTAAAGAAATTGTTCATGACTTTTGTTAGACCAAAGCTGAAATATGCAGCAGTTGTATGGTGCCTATATCTTAAATAATTATGAAGAACATTAACAATCTAGAAAAGGTGCAAAGACATGCTACTAAGTGGCTCTCAGAACTGAAGGACAAAAGCTACGAGGAGAGGTTAGAGGCATTAATTATGCCAAACTAGAAGATAAAAGAAAAAGAGGCGATATGATCACTACGTACCAAGTAGTAACAGGAATTGATAAAATTGATAGGGAAGATTCCCTGAGACCTGGAACTTTAAGAACAAGAGGTCATAAATTTAAACTAACTAAACAAAGATGCCGAAGAAATATAAGAAAATTCATGTGTGCAAACAGAAACAGAGTAGTAGACGGTTAGAATAAATTAGGTGAGAAGGTGGTGGACGCCAAAACTATCAGTAATTTCAAAGCATTGTACGAGTGCTGGGAAGATGGAAACGAGCATAGCTCTCATCCTGTAACTAAACTTAGGTAATTATTTAGGTAATTACAGACAGACTTGTTGCTAGGCAAGGAAGTAAATGAGATGTATGCCAAATTTTGTGAAATATACAATGAAGGCACACAAACATTCATACCAAAACAGAGATGCAGGACCAGAAAACAGGATAGTTTCAACAGAAATTGTGAGAGGGCCAAAGAGGAAAAAGACAAGAAAATCGGTTCAATATAGGAAGCCTAACACGTAAACATACCAGTACTACAAGTAAATAAGAAACAATTACACTGCAGTGAGGAGAGAGGCAGGAAGAAACTTTGAGAAAGGTATAGTTGACAAATGTAAAACAGATCCAGGTCTTTTCTATAAATTCATTAAAAGCAAGCTGCATGTAAAGCATATAATCCTGAAATTGAAGAATGGGGTACGGGACTTCTGAGAATAAAAAAAAAGAAAAGTGTGAAATGCTAAATGAACAGTTCCATAGTGTGTTTGTACAAAATGAGGATTTCAGGGAGCTGGACCCAATACCAATTCCAGAGCACACCATAGAATACATAGAGGTATCTCAAGACAAAGGTGGAAAAATTACTCAAGGGACTATGAAGAAATAAAGCAGTTCGACCTGATGGAGTTTTTCCTTGGGCGCTGCGAGAATGTGCAACTGAGCAGAGCAGTAAACTCCGATTAATATTTCATATATCTTTGTGCACAGGAATCTTAGAAGATATATGGAAAAGGGCAAACATATTATTAAATATAAAAATTGTAGTCAAGAATAACCTCTAAATTATAGACCTGTATTCCATTTACCTAGGCTCTACGAGACTCGAACTGTGGACCCCACACGTATGAGGCTAAAGCTCTATCGACCGAGCTATTGAGTAGTCTAATAAGGAAAGTTTCCAGAAGCAGCATCCTGCTGCCAAACTGGAATTTTATACTTTCTCTGACTACTACTGAAGCTCAGGAGGAAACTTTCCTTATTAAGACTACTCAATAGCTCGGTCGATAGAGCTCCGACCTCACATGCATGGGGTCCACGGTTCGAGTCTCCAAGAGCCCAGGTGAATGGAATGTTTATTTCCACGGAAGTGTGGATGACAATCCACGCTTCCAATCCAGGACATGGATATTCAATTTCTTGTCAAACAGAACACAAAGAGTAACAGTTAATTAAATAAAACTGAGTCCCAGTGCAGTAAAAAGCTCTTACTTCAGAGTACAGCCCTTGCACCACTACTTTTCCTTTTTCTTATATTAGAAATACACAAAAATACAAGTCACAGCTTTGTATCATCTTCTGTAGATGACACAGAAATGACTTCTGTTGAAGATACAGTATTGAAAAACAACAGCCAGATATTAACAAGGTTGTACATGTACTGTATACAGAGGACCATCCGGGCACCATGTCAGCTCCAAATGCATACATTGTGTCAGTATGTTGATACACATTGTATCCCGCATCAACAAGCGGGATACGTAAAAGAGGTCAAGTATGACATTTGAGAAGAAAATTTAAATAACTAAGAAGGTGGAGAGCAGAGTCCTGCGAAGTGTCATGTGCACTGACATTGGTATTAGCAAAATTACTGTTTTTGATCTTCTTAAAGCTAATCCTATCATTTTTTACTATTTCTCTAGAAGTGAAAGTGTTAAGGCAATACGAAATAGAAAGGTAAGTAAAGCAAAAGTGGAGTGTGTTGATAATTGATAATGCAGTGTGGGAGTGGTACAAACAGAGGCGTGAAGTGACTAAGAAGCCAGTGGCAGGCTGGCTGCTTGTGGAAAAGGCACGTGAATTTCACCAAGTAATGAAAATTACTCAGAAGTGTGAATACAGTGATGGATGGCTTAGAAGCTTTAAAACCTATCATGGCATTAGGTTCATTAGGGTACATGGTGAAAGACAATTTGCTGACACTATTGGTGCTGACGAGTATTCAAGTAAATTTGCGGAGATGGTGTAGGAACAAAATTTATCTCCAGAGCAAATTTATAATGCTGGCGAGACAGGTTTGTACTGGCGTATGTTACCAACAGACACAATGGCTGATAGTGGTGATGACCATCCTTCAGGTGGTTATAAGCAGAACAAACAGAGAATTTCTCTGTTGTGCTGTGCAAATGCAGCTGGCACTAACAAATTGAAATTATTTGTGATTGGAATTAGCAAAAACCCCCCAGGGCTTTAAAGTCAGCTAGGTACCTCCCTGTGATTTATAAGAACCAGTCAAGTGCGTGGATGTCTCGAGTAATATTTGCCGAGTGGTTTAATAAGAACTTTGTACCCGAGGTAAAGGAGCACCTGAAAAGTGTTGGCTTCCCGTAAAACAGCAAAGTTGTGCTGCTGCTAGATCGTAGTGCAATGCATCCACTAGGTGATGAGCTAGTAAATGGCAATATCATTGGAAAATTTTTAACACCCAATACAACTTCCCTGATCCAACCCATGGATCAAGGGATAATTAACAACCTTAAACACCATTACAAGAAGATGCTTGCCATACATCTTAATAATCAGTCAGGAACAATTAAGAACTTTTATAAAGTCTTCACAATAATGTCAGCTATCCGGACTATTGCTAGTGCATGGGACAAGGTAAAGCAAACAACACTAAGGAATGGTTGGAAAAAACTTCGGCCCACATCAAGTCTTTATCCTGAGAAAGATGACAAGGCAGATTTTGGAAGAAAGTTAGAGAGAGGAAAAAAGAAGAAGAGGAAAAGAGAGGAACTCCTAGCCTATGTCAAGAGGATTGAGTCCCCAGAACTGAGAGCAGACCTGGTGACTGAAACAATAGTAGATGACATAGGTAGGTGGATAGATTTTGACAAAGAAGCCCCAATCAAAACGTGACCGATGATGAAATTATAGAATTAGTATGTACAGCAAAAAAGCCAGAAGAGTGCAATGAAGATGATGGCGAGCAAAGGAAACAGGAAGAGGATGAAGAAGCATTTCAGGAAAAATGTAATATGGAAAAAGTTCAGCAACATTTTTAATGCATTCTCGCATTTATGGAAATGAGTAACAGTGAGTTTGAAATTAAGGACATGATGAGCCAGTACAATTTGTATATGAAGATTTTGAAAACAAGACCAAAAGATTAATTTACATTTGAAACAAATGTAAATTAAAGTCTTTTGCAAAGGCTTCCAAGAAAATTCGCATTGCCTCACCTGCACCTGACTAATCACATGTTAACCCAAATGCATCAACATCTGAGGTTACCTTATCACCATTAATCTCCATTTCTGTCAACCCAACACCACCAACATCCACCACCACCTCTTCCATGTAAATAACTATGCTCCATCAACAATAATCATCAACATAACAAGTGGATCAGGATTTCTCTTATTGGTGAGTACAAACAAAATAGTGTCGCATTTATGCAATGAACCTGTCAATTTTGTCCACTAGAATTTTTTCATAATTTCTTGTTTATTTTTTTCACTACATTTCTCATTTATTTTTGTTCCTACAATTTTTGTTTATGAACTTACACGGTAACCGACAGGTCTCATCCCCGAGGGGTTCGAAAACCAAGTGGTCTTCTGTACATAGACACGATAAAGCACCTAAAAAGCATCTGCTGGTATCATCTCAAAGCTCTCTTGCTCTCTTGCTTTTGCAAAGCTTGGAGACCCTGAAAGCTGAGTGGACAGCGCTTCAGATTCGTACTCCTGAGGTTCCGGGTTTGATCCCCAGTGGAGGCGGAAACAAATGGGCAGTTTCTTTCACCCAGATGCTCCTGTTACCTAGCAGTAAATAGGTACCTGGGAGTTAGACAGCTGCTAGGGACTGCTTCCTGGGGGAATATAACAAAAAAAGGAGGCCTGGTCAAGGACAGGGCTGCAAGGACGCTAAGCCCCGAAATCATCTCAAGATAACCTCAAGATAAGAAGATAACCTCTCCAAATGTGCTCTCTAGAAAGGAGGAGAGAGAGAAATATAAAATAATATACAGTATAATGGTACATGGAAAATACTGGAGGACCAGCTCTGCAAACACACAATGTAACGATCCCTATGATTTCCTTGTTATAACTTTTAACAAAGTTGTTACATCTTGTTATAACATTTTTATGATGTATTAGAACGTTGTTACAACGTGCTATAGTGGTTGTTACAATTGTTAGGTGTTAACACTATCGTGCTCCGTTGCCTACCCCCCCGTAGTCACTCATTTTTCTCCGGCTTCTCAGCGAGTGACTATCGCTCGCATCATGAATTAAAATATTTGTAAAAATTCAGCGAGTGACTATCGCTCGCATCATGAATTAAAATATTTGTAAAAAATTAAATTTTTATCCAATCAACTTTTGGGTGGTTTCCAAATGAGCACCTTTAGATTGCGCACAATTTGATACCAAAATGAAAGACGTAACACGAAAATTGATGTCAGAACACTTGAAAGGCATAAATAATTTTGTGGTGATGAGCGTCCACAAGTTAAAATATTTGTTAAAATTCCATTTATTGTTCTATTATTATGGGACTAGTTTTAAAATATGCGCCTTTATATTGCGAACAATTTGATACCAAAATGAAAGACGTGACACAAAAATTGATGTCAGAACACTGGAAATATATAAATAATTTTATGGTGATGAGCATCCAGAAGTTGAAATATATGTTAAAATTCCATTTATTGTTCTATTATTATGGGACTAGTTTTAACACTATCGTGCGCCGGGCATACGCGCCGCCAACTTAGAGGTCACGCCCCCGGCGTGCGGGCGAGCATGCGGGCAAGCGTGCGGCGACACTGAAATGTGTATACTCGTTTCAGTTTTCTCACCTTAATTCTCGTGCTACGTCATTCGTTTTGGTATCATTGTATTTGCAATAGAATTCCCTACATGTGTATATGCATATAATGTCCAAAAGCCTGGAGTGACTCCTAACAGCAAAGCCTAAAGTCAGCAAAAGTTACCCGTGAGTGCACAAAATCAGTAAAATGTGTTTACTCGTTTCAGTTTTCTCACCTTAATTCTCATGCTACGTCGTTCGTTTTGGTATCATTGTGTTCGCAATTAAATTCCCTGCAGATGTATATGCACATAATGTACAAAAGCCCGGCGTGATTCCCCGCAGGAAAGCCTAAAGTTACCCGTAAACGAGCACCAATTGGCAACCCGCAACCTAATGTGTATACTCATTCAGTTTGATAATATAAATTTTCGTGTTACATCTTTCATTTTGGTATCATATTGTTCGCAATATAAAGGCGCGTATTTTAAAACTATTCCCATAATAATAGAACAATAACTGGAATTTTAACAAATATTTTAATTTTGTATGCTCATCATCACAAAATTATTTATATCTTTCCAGTGTTCTGACATAAATTTTTGTGTTACATTTTTCATTTTGGTATCAAATTGTTCGCAATGTAAAGGCGCGCATTTCTAAACTAGTCCCAAAACAATAGCACAATAAATATAATTTTAACAAATTTATAATCTTTCAAGTGTTCTGACATCAAGTTTCGTGTTACATCTTTCATTTTGGTATCAAATTGTGTGCACTCTAAGGGTGCTTATTTTGAAACTATCCCGAAGTCGATCAGATAAAAAATGAATTTTATACAAATATTTTTGTATTGGACGCGAGCACTGTCCATGGCTAGGACTCAAGAGAAAAAAGTGGACATGAGCGTCGTCCACGGCCATCGATACTGTTAAAATACGCACCTTTATTTTGCGAACAATTTGATACCAAAATGAAACACGTAACACGAAAACTTATGTTATCAAACTGAACGAGTATATACATTAGGCTACAGGTGTGCCAATTGGTGCTCGTTCACGAGTAACTTGGCTGACTTTAGGCTTTGCTGTGGGGAGTCACGCCGGGCTTTTAGACCTTATTTGCATTTACCCCTGTAGAGAATTCTATTGCGAACACAATGATACCAAAATGAACAAAGGAGCACGAGAAATAAGGTGAGAAAACTGAAAAGAGTATACACATTTTACCGATTTTGCGCGCACACGGGTAACTTTGCCGACTTTAGGCTTTACTGTGGGGGAGTCACAGCGGGCTTTTGAACCTTATGTGCATATACCCCAGTAGGGAATTCTATTGCAAACACAATGATACCAAAATGAACAACTTAGCACGAGAATTAAGGTGAGAAAACTGAAAGGAGTATATACATTTCTGTGTCATTGCACGCTCGCCCGCACCACCAGAGCATGACATCAAAGTCTGCAGAGTGTGCACACTGTGTGCAGTGGTGTTAAAACTTGTTTGAATGTTGTAGTAATGTCGTAGTTTTGCTATATGCTTGGTGGGATGTCCCAAATTTTCACAGTATAATAACAACATACTAGAGTGAAAGACATGGAAGGAAATACAGAATAGAACTAGTGAAGAAAGAGGTGCCATAGGCTCAATCAGAGAACACTATATGAACATCAGAGGTCCACAATTGTTCAACATCCTCCCAGCGAGTATAAGAAATATTGCTGTAACAAAAGTGAATGTCTTCAAGAGAAAACTGGAAAGTTTTCTTGAAGTGACGGACCAACTGTGCTGTGTGATTGTTGAGACTACTGACTCACTCTACTCAATTTCACTTACATAAATACTTATCGACCCATCTTAGTACTTCTTCAGTGACACATTTCAGTTTCCATATCTCTCTCCACCATAACTTGACATTTGATCTCAATCACTTTTTAGTCTTTTCTTACACACATCAATAAAATGTTCAAATGTTTAAAATTAGTAATAACCTAATTAAAGTATTTATTTCACTTAATGTAAGAATATATTTCCCAATCTTACATCATTCCTAATTAAATGGAATAAAACAAGTATACAAAGCCTAATAGGAAACTAAATATATATGATGACCAAACCACACACCAGAAGAAGAAATAACGAGGTTTCAGTTCGTCCTGGACCATTATCATGTCCTATCAAATATGACCTGATAATGGTCAAGGATGGACCGAAATGTTGTCGTTTCTTCTTCTTTTGGTGTGTGGTTTGGTCATCATATCTTCAGCCACGTTATTGTGACTCATCGTCTGCCCACATCTATACCTTTATGATCACTATATGCTTACCTGTATCTTCATCACATCCTGGTGTTTCGATTGAGGCTATAGATGGGGAACGACCAGTGGAAAGTGAAGAAAGTGTTGAGGAGGTTAGAGAGGAGAGATTTAACGAGAGTGACATTGTGGACGGTCGCCACCGTTCAACCTCCCCTAGGTTGTCAACATTTGTCACAATGTACTGCTGGTCACCTTGGGGTGAATGTTCCACCTGAAAAAATTAATTACCATTATACTATTTCTCACATTCACTAGATGAGGAGGAATCTGCCTGGAGAAGGCAAGAGCCTGGAGAAGATAAAAGCATTATTGAAATATGTTAAAGATATACACAATTACACCCATCCATCTCACTTTAACTTCCACAGTAAATAGCATCATGGAGAATCGACACCACGACACTCCTCCAAGTAATCTACAGGCACATTTTTCCTTTTTTTCAAGATATTAAAAAGCAGCTATTGCCTCTTGGAAAGTGTTACAATGTCCCTTATCATAATCAAACCTTTCCTAAATGTATTTTCATAGATGCATCACAAAATGTTTAATGTATTACCAATATAGATGCACACAAGAGATGAAATGGTTGGCTGGTTATGGTGTTTAGGCCAGAGTCAAGAATATAACTATGAAGGCATTCAACATTTTATGCATAAAGGAGCTATAGTATTAGGATTTCGTACGAGTTAAAGTATGGGTGAACAGTTAATTAATAAAAGCTAAAAATACCTTTGCAACTTTTTCAACGTCCATTTCTTGAACTAATGTGTTTTCTGATGTTTTTCTAAGAAGGATTACCTAGTATTGTATTTTCTTTCTATGCTAGTGCATTTGTGGCATTCAACCAAGTGGTTGCTGACAAGAGAAGGGATTATGTCTCCCTTCTACATGGTTGTAACAAGTCAAGAGAGAAGGTCTTAACTTGTCAAAGAGGTCAAAAACCGTCAGTACTTTCAAAGCGTTATATAACAAAGAGTGCTGGAACGACGGGACACTATGAGCGTAGCTCTCATCCTATAAATACACTTGGGGAATTACATTGGGCTCTTGGCCTACAAGTACCTGTATAGTGGATTCTCAACCAAACTGATTCAATGATACTGGGGTATTCTGATGCTTCTGATTGTCTGCCTTTAATGTCACAATTAATTTGACATTTATTTGAATGTACAGTACTCATGTAGAACATAAATTTGTAAATAGTATTTTGTATACCAAAATTATAAGGATAAATTAACAACATTACCTTACACTAGATTGATGAAGGAAAAGAACCTTGGAGACAGAATCCATTATTCACTGAAAGTTGCACAACAGGTGGGAGCAGCCTTAAAAAAAAACTAGCGTTGAATGTAATGAAACGATATTTTCTGGGCGAGACCCGGAGGCTCCCCGGAGCTATACCAGGCTGATGTGTATATATTAGACCGTGGCAACAGTCAATCGAAGGAGTTCTAAGCCTACCGGGGACCAGAGCCAGAACCTGACCCCTCAAGAGAGGCACGAGGAGCAATGGCCTAAAGACACCCCCGTGTAATTGGAAGCAGTCTTTGTCTGCCATCTACCAGGTCAGGCACCCAGAAAAGTAGGAATTTCAAAACAAATTACTGCTGGCCAAAAAATTGCAAACCGAAAGCCGAAAAGCAAACAGAACTCCCCATTCAAAAACCGGGAACAAACATGACGTCATCACAACCACCGCGCATCTGTCTGTGCAGCCCCCCTCCCCGGGAGGGGGAGGGGGGATCCCAGACCTCCATGCCGGCAACTCTTCCCAGTTCAGAGGCTGAGTATCAAAAACGTGAAAAAACGCCGACCGGAGAGAGGGAGGGATACCAGGAAACCTCCGCATTTCACCCAGAAAATGGCGTTTCATTACATTCAACAATGGTTTTCTGTGGAGAGCTTCTTCGGCTCCCCGGAGCTACCTAACCAAAGATAAGGAAAAAGGGACTCACCCGGGAGGCGGTCATCACTCGCTCCTCAACTCAAAGTCGAGGCAACTGGTCGTAACCTGCGACCCAAGACTATACACGCCTTAGAAGAACATTAAGAAGGAATGTTGACCAGACCACACACTAGAAGGTGAAGGGACGACGACGTTTCGGTCCGTCCTGGACCATTCTCAAGTTGATTGACAATCGACTTGAGAATCACCTTCACCTTCTAGTGTGTGGTCTGGTCAACATACTTTAGCCACGTTATTGTGACTCATCGCCTGCATTAAGAAGGAACGTGCAGCCAGGACCCTGAACAACCTCCAAAAGCCCTGTGCCCGAAGATAGGCCAGGCCATATTACCAAAACAGCAGCCGAACGCTGAACTTACAAAAGGCGTGGGCATGGGGATAGACCGCAGGCTGACAGGACCGAAAATCCTGCGGACAACTTAGGAGAAGGGAAACTGGGTCAACCCAAAGCGCGTCCTCTACCACAGAGGCTGTAGCGCGCGAATAATGGCGAAGAGCCACAGATAAAACATGATGCACCCCTGGCCGAACCAACCAAGCATCAACAATCCAAGGACCCCTTCGGAAAGCAGCAGACTCATTCTTCGCCAAAAAAGAAGGCTGCAAACGAATGAAACGACCACCAGGACCGAAAGAGCAGAAACGCCTGCGCCAGGGAAGAGCATGAAACTCCCCGACCTGAACCCCAGAGGCCAATGCCAACAAGAAAAGAGCCTTAGAAAAACAGTCCTGAACCGAGAGGGCCACCACAAACCGAGGAGGAGAGAGAAAAGAGAGCACCCGGTCCAACGACCAGGACGGCTCAGGCAGCGCATGAGCAGGCCGGAGGTGATACAACGCCCGAGAAAGCTTGCGGAACAGAGCAGAAGTGACATCCACCCCGAATGCAAGCTGCAGCGGCTCCATCAGTGCCGCATGAAACGAGGTGACAGTAATTGGCACATGATGACGGCCCTGAAACAACCAAGAGAGAAAAGACAAAATAACCCGATCAGACAACCTACGAAGAAACAAAAAATGCTGAAAGGACCGCCAGGAATTTCATACTGCTGTCTAGACGCAGGTGGGACACCATCAACGAAGCCACCTGATCACCAAACAAGTGGTGATACATCCGTGTCAAAAAGACCAGACGCGAAGAGTGGAGAAGATCGAACCAGCCACGTACAGGACCGGAATGATCTGCTGAAAGAGACGGAGCCGCGGGAAGACCCTCGGGTTCGGACAGCGGGCAAGAAGCCCCTGAAACCAAGGCTGGCCCGGCCACCAAGGAGCCAACATGACTCCTCTCCCCTGGTAGGTCTCCAACCGAGCCAGGATCTGGAGCAACAACCGGACCGGAGGGAAGAGGTACAGGTAACTCCATCTCGATCAGTCCGGCCGAAAGGCATCGACCCCGATGGCCTCGCAGTCTGGGAAGGGCACCACATACACTGGAAGACGCCTCGACAACGCTGATGCAAAGAGGTCTACCCCTGGGCGCCCGTATGTCCGGCAGAGCCAACTGAACGAGTCGGCGTCGACCATCCATTCCGTGGAAAGGGGAATGAACCGAGACAGGCCATCCGCCAGAACGCTTGACACCCATTGAACATGAACCGCCAGGAGAGCCAAACCCCGAAAACTCAGCAGACGAGTCACCCGAAACGACCAGCCCCAAAGAACCAAGGGCCGCATTGAAACCCCCGCGGTTCAGGCAATGAACCACCTGGGAGCAGTCCGAATGGAGTCGGATCGTTGCTCCTCGAGAGACTCGAATCCTCTGAAGCGAATGCCACACTGCAGCAAACTCCTGCGCCATGCTGTGAGCTTGACGGAAAGACGGACCCCACCGACCCTGGCTGGCCTGATGACCACTTGTCACAAAACCCCAGCCGAGAGACGAGGCATCCCGAACACATCGAGCAAGGGCTCAGGGAGGCACCATGGCACAGAACCCCGAAAAACCAGCAGAGGAAGCCAGCGACGCAAGGCTCCCGGGATTCGAACCCATAGAGCATGAGACCGGCGGAAGGGACGACCCGAAGAAACCAGAACATCCGCCAAAGCCAGATCCGACCCGATGGGTAAACCAGCATGGCGAAGTTCAGGCTTCCGCACAGCCACTTGAACAACCGACGTGCGACCCGGGTACTCTCCAAAAACAGCCTGAGGTGGGATTGCAGCCGCAACAGCGTCGCAGAAGGGAAAGACAAGGAAGCGGTCCGAGAGTCCCACACAAGACCCAGCCAAGTCCAAACCTGAGAGGGAACCAAATGGGACTTCCTCCAGTTCACCAAAAACCTGAACCCAGCGAGCTGGAAAAGAACCATATCACTGGCTGGGAGTCCACACCAGCCAGTCATCGATGTAAGCCAGAACCCGAACCCCTAACAGGTCACCATGACCCGGGTAAGGCGTGTGAACATTTGAGGTGCCAGATTCAAGCCGAAAGGAAGGCAACGAAAGCGGTAAGCTTGTTGTCCCATGACAAAACCGAGCCAGTCCCTGAACCCTGGATGAATCGAGATGTGCCAATATGCATACCAGAGGTCCAGAAACTCCATCCAGGCATCTGGCGCCAAAAGCAGCTGGACCTGAGACAGAGTGGTCATCCGAAAGGAGGAGCAAAAGACCCAGTGATTCAGACTAGACAAGTCCAGTATGAATTGCAGATCCGCACAGTCCCGTTTCGGAACTGAAAACAGGCAGGAAATCCACCTGAGGGGCGTTGTCGTTTTGACCACACCCAAGTGAACCCACTCCCGGATGACCTGACAAGAGCACAGGAGAAGTGGCCTACCCTGCCAGCCCCGATCCCCCCGAAGGAAGAGGAGCGACCCAACGCCACCGCAGGCCGGAGGAAACGACCCGAAATGCCCACAAATCGTGGGACCAGGCGAGAACAAACAGTGTGAACCTCCCCCCTATTGCCACGTCAATGGGGCAACCTGCGAAAGGGCCGACGACCCCTACGAGAGCCCAACCGACGCTGAGAGCAATCGCTACACCGACCAGACGCCGATGGCTCCAGAGAAGGTGCCGGCCTCAAATCTGGCACTACTGGCTTACGACGACCGAAGGAACCCTGAGACCAGGCACGACCCTTCGAGGCAGGACCTCCAAGGCCCCTGCCCCCGGAGAACCTACTAGTCCGATAAAGGCCGTCAACTAAACGAAACCGCCTGCAGAAAAAGCCCCACCGCAGACTGACGATTGGCAGTATTGGGCACTGTCAGCACAGTGCGATCGGCAGTACTTAC